CAATATTGTGAAATTAATTTTTATATAGCTGAAAATTGTTTTATATAAACATATAGGTATTGTAAAATAATAGATAAGGCAAAATTGTAAAATTAATTTAGGTTGTTATACCTGTATGGTTGGTATGCCTGGATGGTTTACCTGTATGGGTTACCTATATAGCTTAAATAGGGTTAGCTCGCATTAGTTTCTAGTTTTAATCTTCCTCTTTGAAGATGATCACTTGGTGATCGAAACACATGTCGAGGTGTTAAAAGTAACTTTTTGTCCAATTGTTCCATTTTTACTTGTATTTCATTCCACTGTCATTTCATTTCAGGGTTTTTTTTGCTTAATATAATTGTTATTTTCAGCTATCCTTTTTTAATTCTTCTTTTTTATTAGTTCTTTCAGGGATTTCAAATCATTTCATGAAATATCAAACAATGGAAGTCCGAACTTATGGAATTCAAATGACAACTAATTTGACAGATGTAGCCTCAACAAGATGGCCGGTATCAATTGTCAAAGTTAGGAAGTACCTTTTGGAAGACCCTATACTAACTTTTTGAAAATGTTATACTTGGTCAAAAAATATCGTCATTTAAGGTCATTATAAAGTTTCAAACTTTGTCAGTAATTCAATTACGGATTCAGAATGCCAATCAGTAAAAAAAATCGGCAACCGCTTGGGAAGTGCCTACTCTCCGGGCGCTTCTTCTTCGAGAAAGTAGCATTTTTCCTTCTATTCCAGAACATTCCAGAACCAGAACCAGAACATAGTGAATTAGTTTTAAATCCTATAAATGAAGTGCGCATCACTGCTCTAGAGAAATGTCCAGGGACGTTTCGACGTTTGAAAGTTCAATACTTCAAGGTTGATGGTAGTTATTCTATGAAAGGAATTCATCTAACTTTTTCATTACAAAGATTCAACTTACTCTTCTGAGCTTACAAAAGAATGTCTCAAAGCATCACATTTTTGTATAAAATAGTTCATGGTGTTATTGATTAGTCACATATCTCAGCTAAATTGAATTTTAATGTTCCCCAAGCAGTAATTCGATAACATCTCCCAATTTACTCACCTTTCCGGAGAACTAATATAGGCGGAAACTCACCTGTGATGATAATATGTGATAATTTCAATGTTTATTGATCTGATTCTGATCAAACAGTGAGTTTTGTCGTAACGAGCTCTAGTATCTATGTTTTTTGATAGTTTATGGTATAAGTTTTCTTTCAATCTCATATACAGAGTGGTCCAACGAAAAGTATGCACCTGTCTTTTCTCCTTTTTTTGTAACTTAACGCAAAAATGCTCGGCAGGTCAATTTTGCTTTTGAGGGGGACACATTTAAGATGTATTTTTCTACCTGTGCCTTCAACCCCCTAGCGAGGGTGAGTAACAACCCTAAAATTTTAAAAGGAAAGTGGGGTCGAGTGATATATCATTTGAAAGGGCACAANAGAAAAATACATCTAAAATGTGTCCCCCTCAAAAGCAAAATTGACCTGTCCGAGCATTTTTGCGTTAAGTTACAAAAAAAGGAGAAAAGCAAGGTGCATACTTTTCGTTGGACCACTCGATATGTCTCATATATGTCTCCTAAGAAAAAAAATGCGTTTTTTTTCAAAATTGCCTTCATTCATCAACGTAATCTCCAGCAATGACAACACAATAATTCCAGCGCCGCTATAACATTTCAATATCACTTTCGTAGAACGAAATATCTTTTGTCTCAAAATAGGCCTCAGTTTCAATTGTTCTTCAAATGGGGTCGTTTTTTCATAATTTCGGCCTTTAAACGCTCCATTAACGCTATATAATATCCACTGTGGATGATATTTTCCTTCTCAAGATAGTCGATGTATATTACACCACGCATATCCCAAAATACCAAGGTCATAAACTTTCAATCTGATTGTTGTGCTTTGAACGAGGTTCACCAGTTGCTCTCCATTCAGATGACGATCGTTTTGATTCTGGAGTGAACTGATGGATTCATGTTTCATCTATTGTCACATATCGATGCAGAAATTCTGGTTTGATATGTTTAAACATGGCCAAACAGTGCTCAGAGTCATCAAGACGTTCTTGTCTCTGGTCACCAGTGAGCTCGCGCGACACCCACTTTGAAGAGAGCTTTCTCACAGTCAAATGCTCATGCAAAATAAAGCCAACACGTTCTTATGATATTTTGACAATGGCAGGTAACTCGAGCAACTACACTTTTCGATCATTCAAAATAATTTTATGGTTTTTTTAATTTTTCCTGGTGTTACTGCCTCATTTGGACGTCTATCATCGGTGTCTCTACGACCACGTTTGAAGTCAGCAAACCAACGTTCAATTGTTGTTTTTGACGGAGCGGAGTCCTTATAACACTTTTCAGGCCATCGCTTCGCTTGACCAGTATCTTTTCCATCAAAAGTAAACACGAAATTGTTTTTGATCCATTGTTTTAAAAATAACAAAAGTAGTGTCACTCTTAGCACAATAACTCACAAACTTATGAATAGAATATCATGAAGTTCTAACAGCTTTCTTTTGAGGGTTAGTACTAATTGAAAAAACTGTAAATACAATAAGACTAGCGACTTCTCAGCCCATGCAGTGTATCATTAAGTTTGGAGAAATTAAATTGCTCTCATTTTTATTCTATCTTGCAGATTCTATGTCTCTCAGTTCTCCGCCAGGAAATCAAAGTCCAAAAGACTTCGACAAGTTATACGAGGGTAATATTCCAAGCGAAGTAGCAGATCTTCCAGAAAATCTACAGAATCTCATTATGGGGAAAGTGACTCTGGCAAAAACAACGCTGCGGAGTAGGAAAATTGTCATATACATTTGTGCGGCAGATTCTCAAGGTAACTCATAGAGTATTTAGTAAACCCAAAACAATCATGAAATACATTTCTATCTGTTAAATTGTTCAGCTTGTCGTCGATGGTTCCTCAACATATCCCCAGGTGAATTCTTAAGACTTTCGCGGCCGATATTTCCAGTGTTATTTGTGTTTGAAGGTCGTCGTAGTTTGGAACTGTATCCTAACGTTTCGACAGCACGAGTGATTGGCTCTTCAGAAGTTTATTCATCTCAATGATTCACAGATTCATCGGTCACCGGGTCATCGGTGAATCATCAAGGTGAATAAACCTCTAAAAAAGCCAGCTACTCGTGCTGGCGAACCGTTAGGATACAGTTCCAAACTACGACGACCTTCAAACCCAAATAAAGATAGTAACACTGGATTTCTACAGATCAGCACAAAAACAATCAAAATTAAGTCGATTTGATGAAACTGGTGATAAAAGGAGGTGAAAATCTCAAAATTTTTATCAGTTTGATATAATGAGGTATACCTTATTATGAAAGAAAGTGAAGATGACTCTCCTGAATCGATGAATGAAAAATAGTAACAATCACTCCCCAAACCTCGATGAGTGGATGAATGAAGATTATGAGATGATTTTATACTTTTATAAGTTGCCTTTATTAATCAAAACTGATCAAAAGATATGTAAGAGCTTAAAAAAAGCAGCGTTATCATCTTTCAACGTTAAAACTAAATTATTTGACTTCCTGAAAAAAATTAAAAAGATTAACTGAAAATAACAATTGTATTAAACAAAAAACTGAATTCATAAAGAAATAACATACAAGCATCAACCAAAAAATAAAAAATTGAAATATTAATTAAAACTGAAAATTGAAAAATATCATCAGCAAAAAATGAAAAATTAAAATTGAAAGATTCCAAACCAAGTTACGTCATGACGTTTCAATTGTTAGTATCCACAATCGTCTTCGGGTGATAACTGGACTTATTCTGACTATTTATAGGTCATTCGAGTGCTTTCACTTATCCCCTCTTCCATCTCTCCGCTTCATTGGTTTTATCGGGTTTAGAGTGATTTGAAACTCTGAACATTGAAGAAGCCCACAAGAAGCTCCGAGTCTGGTTAAGATACGTAGATGACACCTTCATAATATGGAACCATGGGAATGCAGAACTAGACACTTTCCTGAAGTACATCAACAATGTAAGCCCTTCTATCACTTTCACAATGAAGAAGGAAGTTCACAACGAATTGCCTTTCTTAGACGGGAAGAGGACCGACACTGAATGGGAAACATCTGTATATCGAAAACCCACTCACACAGGACAGTATCTGAACCAGAAATCCAACCACCATCAATCCACTAAGAGATGAATCATCAAGACTCTACTAGACCGTGCTTTCGGGCTCTGTAATACAAAGGAAGGTCTCGAAAAGGAACTAGGCATCATCAAAAATGACCTTCAACGGAATGGTTACTCCAGAGTGATGGTAGAACAGGCTTCAGCAAGAAGACAGCAAGAGCTCCACAAGGAAGAGAAGCCGCCACAACCAGTACTTGTACTTCCCTACATCAGAGGATTATCAGAAAGGATAAGAAGGATTGGGTCCAAGTATAACATCAGGACCTGCTTCAAATCTGGGAACACTATCCGTAGCCTATCCGTAGCAACCTCACGAAAACCAGGCCACCAAACGTGGACTGCGATTCCAAGAATTGCATTTACTGGATACCCTGTGAGTGCGAAAAATCCTATATCGGTGAAACTAAGAGGCCATTGAAAGTTCGCATTGCTGAGCACAAGAAACACACACAGCGAGGAGGAACCAGCAAATCCGAAATAGCAGAGCATTTTGGGACTCATCAACATAATCATCAACACTGGTTTAGGAGAAAATTCAAAGAAGCTGCATATATGTTTGAACAACAACGCATTTAGTCAAGCTAGCGTAGAGATACGTAACATATGGAAACCTCTAATCAAGCGAAAAACGATCAACTCCCGCCAAACGGTCATCTCCCACTAAAACCAATGGAGCGGAGAGAGGGAAGAGGTGATAGTTGAAAGCACTAGAATGACCTATAAATAGTCAGATCTCGGAGGAATAAGTCCAGTTATCATCCGAAAAAGATTGTGGATACTAACAACTAACGAAACGTCATGTCGTAACTTGGTTTGGAATCTTTTGATTTTTATTTTACATTTTTTGTTAATAATATTTTTTAATTTTCAGTAAAAAAAATCTGATACTTACTATTCATCTATTGTATCTCATATATATTTTCAAACTGTTGAAAATGATTGCTATCATTGAAACTATTATAAACTCCGTTATGAAGTAAAGAGTTCATTGTTTTTGAGAGACTAGTTCGTGAAACCCCCAGGTCATTGCTACTTCTTGTATGATAGCTGTTTACTTGATGATTGAAACTGATTAGTTCATTGAAATATGGTGATATTTACCCAGTAGGTGTTTCGAAAATGAAAATATTTTCAAGAGTATTTGTTGCACTTCAACGATATTCGCATGGCTCTGGTTTGCACTGATTTGCAATTACCAGAATGCGATTGAATTGTGGACTTCGAAGTTAGATTGAAATGTTACATGGCGACTGATCTGAGTAGGAAGAAACATTTTTTTGGAAAGAGATACAGTGGAAGTGGAAGCCGACAACCCCCGACTTTATCGTGTATGGAATCTACCTCACTAATATCAAGGTCAAGTTCCATTTTGAAGGTCAAACTTCACGTTCGAAGTCAAACTCCACGTTCAAGGTCAACCTCACATCCTTCTAGGTCAAAACCCATGGTCACATATCGAAGAGAGGATCCAATCTCAGAACCAACCCACAAGTTCAAGGTCATATGACACACAGCTCCAGGCCGTGTGACGTCAGTAGAAGTCGATACTTTTAATTATCTCTTAGTGGTGGGGGGAGGCTGAAAACCGGCTATTGCCTTTTACTATTCATCAGGTGGCTTTTATTTTGTTAACATTCTATTTGATATTATTGTTCAGTGTATGATTAGAAACTTTGTGATATTCTGTAAGGTGATCTGTATCCTCACTTGATACAAGTAGCGTATCTTACACAAACGAATTGATGTATTCACAATTTGGAATACAAATAATGTGAATAGCAAGGGATATTTTGCACTACCTTGAACTACCATGTTTTCCTTTGCTTGATACTACGTTGTTAACTTTGGTTCATTGAAATATTTTACCTAAGTGATTTCGTACTGAATACATTGCCAGTTATTCCATAGTATCCTAATTTAGAAAAGAAGATTGGGATATCGATTGTTTCAACTGTTCTTTTGGAGTCTAAAAATACTTTGAACTTCAATTCTCTTCTATTATTAATTTCCTCTTGGAGAAAGTAAGTTGTAGAGCAGATTTGCATGAATGCTTTGATCTAAATCCGGATTTCGAGTCCACTAATAAACTTATTTATTACCATTTGAAACTTTTCAAGCGCTGTAGAAGTCATTTTGTAAAAACGTTTCATCAATCCCAAAATAATATGAATACAATGAATAGAACAATGAATTCATATTCAAACTTTTTGGAATATTAGTAACGCAATTTCGAGATTCTCACTGTTGATGGTCCATTCATATACTTTTTTTTATTTCAGGGCAAATGGAAGTGGCATATATTATACCGGTACTTTTTCTCAACAACTCGTTGGGGACTCAACTGCTCCCCATCACGATAGAAAGTACTGACTTCAGAATAGCAATGGAAAGAGCTGAAGACCAAACTGCTCAAGGATTGCTCTCCAAATGGTAGGTTCAAACTTGTGGGGGCAGCTATGAAGGTATAGTTGCCAGGAGTCTCCAGGTTTTATGGTAGTTATTGGATGAGTCAATCCTGGTTATTGTAACTTCTCCGAAATATTCAAAGATGGCTGTCCAATATCATACGTTGCGGCAGAAATCTTTTATGCTGGACTCTATTCTAATTCTATAGATTCCTAAAATAGAATACCGCAATATCAGCCCCATTAATCTGATGTTTATTAGCGGTGGAGTATGTCTATTACAAATTATTTTCAGGTAGTTGTTGAAATTTCATAATAAGGCTCAAAGCAGTTAAAAAGCAAATAATATTCTTCACTTGATGTCGTCATAGAGCTTCTTTCAAACCTTGAGATTAATTTTATGCAGTCATTTCTCGATCAACTGAGAAAATCGTTCAACCCTCTGAATAGATTAAAAACATTATATCATAACTTCACATTCACCAGAAACATAAATAGTCAACAAGATAGTCATACCTATAATCTAAGATGGAAAAAACTTTGTCCTTCAACAGTATAGGAAAGAACTTCGAGGGTTCAGAAGGTTAGGTTAGGTCCAAAGTGAGTGCGTCTATTTGACCCTCCACCGCAACCCGCAAGGGTTTATTTTGGCTCACACCTATTCACACTCGACCAAATAAACGCGACTTCTTAACGGAGCGGATTAGTTTGTAAAGTGAGTGGTCTTTCAGGTCAGATGGCGAGAGTACGGCTCTGCTGAACTCTTAAAATCTGGTTCGGCCCCCAGCGGGTCAGGACAAAGCTCTGCTGTTTCATCATTTTCCAAACAATCGACAGTCCGAGTCTTTGGATATGATGATTCAAATGACAGTGACCTGTAAGAAGGCCTGTTAGACATCGTAGTTCATCCTTACTGTAGTTCAACAACTCTCTGGTAACAAGCTTCGAAGCGTGAATAAACGCCTTGGATTGAGCCAGTTCTGGAAGATCCTGCCGAAGTCCATAAATCTTCTCACCTTCCAGGTGTTCAATCTTTGTTTGGCAAAGGCCAAAATGATGCTAATGACAGGTTCTGGTCCGATGAAACTGCTTGCCGGTTCAGAAGGTACTCCTGGAAGAGAAAAGTGACCTTCAGACACATTACAATAAAACTTTTTCAATAAATCCATTCTGAAGATATCACAATATAAAATACACTGTAATCACATAAAAAAATTAATAATTTTCACAGTTGCACTTTTCAGGTTTTCAAATGATTCATGTAGAGATAAATGTTGCAATTGATCCAGTTAGAAGCTTAGTTGAAGAATTTGATTTGCCCCATACCCCAAAGCCTATAGTGGATCTCCTTTTATCAGCAAATAAGACCCTAAAAATATTGGTGTGAACATAAACTAGAGCGACATATATAGGGCCTTTCATTACGCGCTTCCATCGATTTTTTTCATTTTTGGAAGACCAATTGATGCCATTATGTGTGGAATAGTACATCGTTAAATTTTGTGCATTTCAGAACTTGGGTTCTGATTCATCTCAATGAAAGACCATCAATTCCCCCACAACCCCATACCACTGAGATGGATAATATTTGAACTGGCTAACCCAAGAACCATTGAAGGTTATCCGGAATACATCCAGGGAGGTCCAATCACTAATGGACCCATTAGTGGGGTTCAATCACTATTTGAACTGGCTAACCCGAAAACCATTGAAGGTTATCCGGAATATATCCAGTGGGGTTCAATCACTAATCTACCCATTAGTGGGGTCCCATTCCTGATGGGTCCATTAGTAATTGGATAACCTTCAATGGTTCTTGGGTTAGCCAGTTCAAATATCATTCCTCTCAGTCGTTGTGAAGGAACTAACCGTTGAAATGTCCGCCACGGCTTCTCTGGTTGGAACGCATCCAAAACATTCAATTTTCCATGGCAAATGAATCAGGCTGAATTTGACCGATGGCATGGGTTATGTTGGCTTTGGGGGTCGCTGTGGTTTGTGGCATCACCTCCATGTGAGATGACTATGCCTGCAAATCGCAAATGTGGCATGAGTTGTGTGGCACGTAGTGCCGCCATCATGTTGAAAACACAAGTTATTGGTGCCCAGATGATTCAATTTAGGTCAAAAGAAGTTGGTAATCATTAACCTATAGTGCTCGCCGTTGACAGTGATGGTGCCACCGATGGTACCACGAGCCTAAAATCCACACCTAACAGTGACTTTTTCGAAATGCATTAAACGCCCCTGGATCTCATGTGGATTGGTATCGTCCCAAATTTAACAATGTTGTTTGTTCACGTACCCATTCATCCAGAAATGAACCTTTGATGGAAATTAGGGTCAGTGGCTAACTGCTCTAGAGCCCATTCAGCGAACACACGTCGTTGTCTATGGTCGTTTAACTTCAGTTCCTTGGTCAGTTAAATTTTGTATTGGTGCAGGCGCAAAATTCGCCCAGTTGTGGTTTGCGAAAGGCCGAGTCCTTGTGAGCCATAAAAAATCAGCTGCTTTGGATTCTCCTGTACGCTCTCACATACAGCAGCTGTGTTTTTGGCAGGTATTACGTTTCGTTGACATACGGATGTTGGTTGATCGTTTACTGAACCAGTGGACCCAAATTTAACCATCACATTGCGAATAGTCTTCTCGATATGACGATTATGGCGACCGTAAAATGGGCGAAGCGCGCGCTAAGTTGACCGAACAAAACGCCCATTTTGTTTGAACAATTTCATTATTTGCACATGTTGTTGAATGCTATGGATTCGTTCATGGGGATTTGGCAAAACAGACAGAATAAATGACAAATAATTTGACATATGAAGGAAGATCCAACAAGATGGCCGTTATCAATTGTCAAAGTTCAGGAATCCCTGTTGGAATACTTTATACTAGAGCAACGAACGTTCAATTTTGAACTTGGCATACCTATGTGTCCAGAAATCTTCTGGAAAAGATAGATATAGATATAAGTTTTGATGCAAATATTCCCAATGATGGATCTTCGGTGTCCTAAAACTACCTGTCTTCTTCATTTCCAGGTGAAGATTTATCAACCAAATTCTCAAAAGGTTGTATGACAAGTGGTTCCACTCTTTTCGAAACTGAGAATGACAGTCAATATTTCGAAAACAACAAAATATTCCAAATATCAAATATTCACTTACGTTTGCAATTTTACTGCTGATACGTTATGTACAGACACAAGTCAAGAAAAACTTGATATTCCCCAGCTTATTGTTTTCTTGATTATCGTAGAAAAGCTGCTTGTCTACTTGTGTCTTCTGGTAGCATATTGTCAACAGTTTCTCTTCCACTTCCAGGTACATGCTAGACAGCGATTCGCAACCACCATGTTACCGACTGAGACCTATCTCCTGCCATATTCCAGGTTTTAAAGAAACCTCTCTGGAAGATCGAGAAAAGGCTTTTGCGGAGTGGGCCACAGAAATAGATAAGATGTTGGCAGTACTCATAACGGTATTTTCGCCAGAGCTGAGAGATACTTATTTGACTACAGTCGTTGAACAGGTAATATATAGGTTATGGTAAACGAATTCTCGAAAATACCAATTATATCTTGTTATATCTTGTTCGATTGATCGTCTATTTATTTTGTAGAATGAGGAAAATAACTTTTGTCTGATTTCTACTAAGTTTAAGTTTTTTGAACCGGTCGTATTAAATATAGAACTCAGTAAAGATTAGACAGAAATAATTTTTTATCCTATACCAATTATATATTTTTCGAGTCATTTTTCTGGTCACACTTGATTATACTTCACCGATTGAACAACTGAAGTTGCCCAGTTCAATTCCCCAATGAGTGACATACTCATATTACCATAAGGGCGCTCCGAAATAAACATACTGAGTCAACTTTCTCAAAACTATGTCCTCCAACATCTCATGCTTTGTGAAGGTATGAAAAAAGAAATATCTTCAAAGAGTCACTAAAAATGTATCTGAAGATCTGCAACACATCATAAAATAAATAATGATAATAATAACTCGATTTTGTTGACAACAAATAACAAATAGTAAATAAATAAATGATGATACTGTCAATACCGGAGAGATGATCCAATATGAGGGCCAACCCTTATGTTCAAGGTCATAAGGCTTCGCATATAACTCCGGGCCGTGTGACGTCAGTCGAAGTTGATTCTATCAATTACCTCATAGTGGTGGGGGAAGGCAAGAAACCGGCTGTTATCTTCTACTATCCATCGGGTGGCTTTCATTTTATTAACATTCAGTTTGGACTTATTGTTCAGTGTATGTTCAGAAACTCTTTGATACAAGTAGCGTATCATCCACAAACGAATTGATGTATTCACAATTTGGAATACAATTGATGTGAAAGCATAGGATATTATGCAGTACTTTGCGGGTACACTTATCGCCACAAGCAGATGTCAAGACATCAATATTTGCAAGCTTTCATAATATATAGTAATGTCTTTTCATATATAGTCAGTGGGCATACTTTTCTGAACGAATTGTTCTTTTAGATGCCCACTGACTATATGTGAACAGTTTTCTTTCCTTATACGAGAAATTAGTCAAATTTTGGATATGCGGTTGAATACCTCGTTCACAGGCAGATGAGACGATGACAAACCTGTTGTTTCTTGTCCGCATCAGCCTAGTTCGATGAATTATACTCTGAAGGAATCCGCTTTCCAATTTTTGGAAATAATTGACAATCTATTGCGGCAGTTGTATCGCCAAAAGCATATGCAGGAATAACTTCAGTGAAGAATCCTGCACTGACACCTGTCGGATATAATCCAACACCCTTCGTGGTATTAGCCAGGGGAGTAGTAGTTTCCTAATAGGTATCAGTCCATTAATGTACAGTGTAGGGAGCTTAGACTGGCCTAAACGAATTGTTCTTTCAGATTTGATAGTAATGTCCGCAAAGTGAAAGTAACTTTTGTAACTTGAGATTAATCAACTGCTTTTAAGCATATTCTATCAGAAATATGGTGTGTTGTTGAATTATAATCAATGAAGATGAAACTATTGAGTGCTTGGTAGATTCAAATTTTGAACCTGGTGAGCTTTGAGTCAGCAAAACCCCTGAATGTCATTTCTGTGTACAGGAAGTCCACAATACAGTTTTCATGAGTCAAGAATTGGCAAAGAGATGCGTGTGGTTGAACAGAGTCTATACACCAACGGCAAAAACTCCGGATAACATGACACCTGGAGAAGCTGAAGCCCACAGGAGACTGAACGTTTTACAAAAGGATCTGAAGGTAATAATACAGTATCTTGACACTTTATATTTCTTAGATATGTGTTGTACTGCACAGTATTTTTACTCACAAGGTAGGTGTTCCACAGATTTCAACTGTTGGGCCGCTTCTATGATTATTTCCATAAACTGATTGATTTTCATCACATGGAGCAAATTTGTCAAATGTCATTCAATTTCCAGAATCAATTGACTGAGAAACATATGATCCGGATACCAGTGAAGTACGTAGATGGTGGTTTGAACCAGGAAATTCCAGAACACGAGGACTATATTGCAACGGTGACTCATCATCTGAAGAAACATCTCAGTGAGATGATCAGCACAATCGTAGACGAACATCAGAGTAAGTCGCTGCTGAAACCGAGCTACGGGATAGAAGCTTCTTTGTTCGAGGAGTTGAACCAGCAGACCAATTTTTGCCAGAAAGCCGCACAATGTAACATCAACAGGGAAGAGACGATTGAAGATATTAAATCGTATGTATTTCGGAAATATGAGGTTAGGGATCTAACAGGAAAATGATGATTCTGGTGACATTTGCTTACTATATTTTGATTCTGCTATAAACTGGTAACGTAAAATTTAGATATGACAACGTGCTTTACTCTCAATCATTATTGGTTTTACTATAGAAAATACTAAATTAATCTTACCATTGGTTTTGAGTATCCAAAATCGCTCATCTTGGCCAGTAGTCCGTCATGCCAACTCTGTCAAACGCCTTGGAGACGTCTAAGAAGATACCTAGATAACAACAAGATTTATGGACTTCTGGCAAAATCTTCCAGGATTCGTTCACTCCAAGGCGTTCATTCACCCTTCAAAGCTTGCTGCCAAACAGTTGTAGGACCACAGTAGGGATGAACTACGATGTCTAACAGTTCGTCTCACAGTCACTGTCGTCTGAATCATCATATGCAGAGACTCGAACTGTCGGAAGACAGCATGTGTCGCCTCTGTTTGGAAAATGATGAAATGGCGAAGCATATACTTTGTGCCTGCGTCGCTGAGGACTGAATCAGAGTTTGGCACTCTTACCATCTGACCTGAAAGATCACTCACCATATAAACTAATCGGCTTCGTTGAGAAGCTATGTTTATTTGGTCGAGTGTATATAGGTGTGAGCTACGATAAACCCTTCGGGTTGCGATAGAGGGACGAATAGACACACTCACTTTTCACCTAACTTAACCTTACCTAACTATTTTCTGCATTTTTCCAACAGGTCCTGGCTTGGCAAACATCGTGGTGGGTAGATAAAGAGCACGCAATTATCCCAAAAGGCAATGTGAACGATCAGCTGAATCTGATGTTGGAGGAATTAGAAGCGATCCTAGGAGTTACCCAAGTTCAACACGCCCTAGCGATTTTAACTAGTACGAAACATGGGATAACTGATTCCGAAATGATTGATCTTTTGGCATTTGATGGAACTTTTCATAGCAATACGACTTACGGTGAGTAAATATTGGAGAGTGTGAATATTTAACAGAAAATAGCAGAACAATTTGAATATCGATAATGTTATGAATATTGATTTACATATAAAAGACATTTTGGCAGCAGTTCTTGTAAAAAATACCAAAAAAATCCCCATCATAGAATTTGTGTTAAGCAAGTGAGTTCGCAAATGAAAAATAGCAATATCACTAATTTTAGCGAAAAATTTATCAAGTAATACCATTGTAGTATTTGTGAGATTTTGAAGGAATTGGCACCTCAGCTTCATTTTCCTTCACAATGGGTGGACAGAGTTCAAGTTCTAAAATGATTGAGAAAAAAAGTTNTCGTTAGCTCGCACAAGTTTCGACTTCTGAGGCTTGTCATTCGTTGGGGTGCGACAGCTGGTTAACGGAAAAACAGATTTTAAACAGATTTTTTTTTAACTGAAATTCAATAAACAAAATAATTCAGCTTATTTTAAAGGAATATTATTAAAAAGTAAAACGGCGTGGCACGCCGTTTTACTTTCTGTTGGTGTTTTGTAAAAATGAATTGTTTTGATTGTTGCATTTAGGTGTTACATGAATTGAATTGATTGTTGATAATTTTTATTCGTCGCTGCGGTCGAACGGATTATTACCGTACTATGACCAACGCCATACATTTATGCAGTTATGTAGTTCCACTAAAATACGCCCTACATCAGCGCCGAATAAAAATTATAAACAATCAATTTAATTCATGTATCACGAAAATTCAACAAACAAAATAATTCAGCTCATTTCAAAGGAATTTTACTTTCTATTGGTATTTCGTAAAAATGAATTGTTTTGATTGTTGCTTTTAGGTGATACATGAATTGAATTGATTGTTGATAATTTTTATTCAGCGCTGCGGTCGGACGGAATGTTGTGTTACTATCACTAGACTATCATGTTGCCAGATTTAAAAATTCAGCTTCTGCAAGAATCCGCTCGACGCTAGCGCCGAATTGAAATTTATGTTACTATAATTGTCAACAAACAATTTTATTCATGTTTCACAGAAATAGTAGTGAATTATTCAATAGTTACAAAAAAAGCATATATGACCAAAAATTTCAAACAATGAATCTATATTATAACTGTTCGCAACTTTTCATCAAACAAATTAATTCGTGTAACATTTTAAATCGAGTGTCATTTAAAATAGAACAAATTTTGCGAACAATCGTTTTTAATGTGTCGAACAAATGCATGAATCAATTAAATTCAAACAAATAAATTGTTAGTTGAATACATTGGGGAATGAATATTTGTTTCAATAAAAAGTAAAATGGCGTTCCATAGATTAAAGTAATAGGTGGAAGGTAATGGAATCAGAAAATGAAAGAGATCTAACCAGATGGACCAACTTCACCAGTACACCGATAAGCAATCTATTTGGGGAGCAACTGATGTCGAGCATTCATCATGCTGGAGACCACATTACTAAAAATATCCAGCCTTTCCCCACGCTGTCCCTCAACACAGAGGAAGTGAAGACTATCAGGAAAGAACCTGGGGTACTCGTCTCCAAGAACAGTTCAAAGGGCCGACTTCGTCGGCCAACCTGCTAACGAGCAGGTTGAAGCGTGGGAGCAAATAATGCACCTGAAACTTTCCGTTATCTTTATATTGCATCTGAAGTTTTTAGAATGTAGCCACGATGGTTATACGAAGATTATCAAGGCTTTGGAGTTTGGTTTTGATTTGAAAAATGATTCGACATTAATATCGTCGTGATCCATGCCTTCCATGTCGGCTACAACTGCTGGTGAAGTACGAGAATTCTTCGTGCAGAAAGAATACGTGCTGATGCCCCAGGGAACATGAGGTCTTTATTTGCTGTTCTACAGGCGAAATGATTTTCGATCTAAATAACGTCCCCTAGGAATGCGGTGAGGGTCAGCTTCTAGGATCGTACGGAAGTTTTTTGTTGAATTTTCATCGAGATAAAATTTTTGTTGATTTCAGTGGATTTTGTTCAACTCTTTATTTCGTTGTAATGTACTCGTAATTTATATTTGGTATATTCATGAGTTTCATAGCAAAGATCATAGGAAACGTACCAAAAATTATGAATGCCAGGGTAAGTAGCTGAAAAAACTATTCAAAATGGTTTGCAAGGAGGACTGGTTTCGATAAATCGATACTGCAGAAATCTTGAACTCAGTAAACAAGAAACATCGCCAAAATTCACCAAATGGTTCTAGGCGACCGCCCAGACACGTGTTTGAATGAACATTTGCAACGATATCTTGACGCAGTTTAGGCACAACTGTAGGTGAAACTTGGATACACCATTATACACCTGCAACAAAAATACTGTCCAAACAGTTGACTGCAAAAGAGAAATAGAATTTTAAAAAAGCGTGATGGAGACTGTTTTTGGGATAGTCATGGAGTTATTTTCAATCGATTATATTCAAAAAGAAAAACCATTACAGGAGCATACTACGCATCGTTAGTTGACAATCTGGAAGCAGAACTCACGGAAAAACGGCCACATTTGCATAAAAAAAATTCTTTCACACCAAGACGACGCACCGTCTCACACATCAATGGTTACCATGGCGAAAATCCACGAAATACGCTTTGAACTACTTGACCATCCGCCTTACTCACCAGATCTAGCCCCAAGTGACTTCTTTTTGTTCCCTCATCTAAAAATTGTGCTCAGAGGACAGATATTTCCGTCAATTGAGAAGGAATCACCTCCGTGAACAATTACTTTGCAAAGAAAAACGCCGAGTATTATTTGGATGGGTTACAGAGATGAAAGCATTCCTGGGAGGAGTGTATCGTTGGAAAAATATTTGAAAAAAAATGCCTCGTATCTTTGTTACGTCGAAAACTTTTTAGACCACCCTCGTAATTTCAATTTAAAAAAATAAAAACTGGTAAATCTACCTGATACATTCTACGAAATATTTTACACATTTTTTGATTCTGAATCTGGCACTAATTTAAGGTTGCGCACATTTTCAGGTATCTTACAGGAGACAGTACGTCACCACTGGTTCTGTACGGTCCAAGTGGATGCGGAAAAACGACTTTGCTCGCAAGGATTGCTCAATGCTGCCAACAGTGGTTGCCAGAAGCCTTTTCAATTGTACGATTTGTTGGGATTAGCGCTCAATCGAGTACTGTTGAACAACTTCTGAGTTCCATCACAAATCAGTGTTCAATATTGAATTATGGCCATAAATGCTATTGTACACATGTAAGTAAACAAGTTCTCATCATTAACAAAATGACACTTCCATCATTTCGGACACTATTTTAATTTACTTGCTGGACTGTTAGATTCGTGCCTCATTCCAGTGGATGGGACATGAAGTCCATGTTGAAATTTTTTGTCTAGCTTTCCAATATTCAAAGTTTCAACTGGAATATCTGGCGTGGAATAAATCCAAAACAAGCACTTGTGCGTATTACCAACTAAGTTGCAATCATCTCCTGAAC